GGGGCGGGGGCGGGAGCCCCGCCTCTGCCGGCGCCCCCTCCCCGCACGCCTGCCGCGGCCCCGCGCCGGGGAAACTGAGGCCGCGGGGTCTGGGCGGCCCAAGGTCGGGCGGCTCGAGGCCTTGGAGACCCGCGCAGGCCTCGTCCCCGGAGGGGAAACTGAGGCCGGCACCGTGGAAGGACGCGCCAAGGTCACCGTGCCAGGCGGCGGTCCGGGGCCTCTCCGGGAGCGCCCGTGGCCGGGGCCTTCTCCGTCTCGGTTTCCACCGCTCCCCAAGGGCCAGGCCGCGGGGAGAGGGTGGCCTGACGCTGGGCCTGCAGACTGGGGCTGCCCTGCGTGGGCGGGCCCTGCTCGCTACAGACCAGAGATTTCCATAATGAAAGTGTTTCCAAGGCCACGAGATCCCTTGCTCTGCTCTGCCGACTCTGGCCCGGACAAAGACCTGTGAGCCCTGGGATGAATTCTGGGGTCTCCCATCCGTATTTGAGGAAACTGAGGCAGAGCCGGGCCAGATGAGGGCAACAGCGAGGGCCTCGGGGCAGGACGTGGGGTCCCAGGAGACAGCGGCCACCCCTTCCCTGGTGGGCTGAGCCCTCCTGGCCTGGAGCAGTGGGAGCTGCTGCAGGAGTGACTGGCCCAGCACCCAGCACCGGGTCGAAGGTGCCCCTAGCAAGGAGGACGATGGGCGAGAAGCAGCGGAGGGGGAGACCGGGACAGGATGGGAAGGGGGTCAGAAACAACCCCCTGAAGGGGCCCTGATGTCATCGGGGGCGTCTGCCAGGGCGGAGAGCTGACGCAGGCCTGCACATGATAGGTGGTTTATGGGCTACGTGTCCTCCCCTGGCAGTGACGGGCTGAGCGCCCATGCAGGGGGTGGCGGCCCCATGCCACGGCCACGCAGGAGGCAGGGTACTGTCTGTCCCGAGGGGCGTGTGGGGCTGGGCTGCTGCGGAGTTGGCGGTGCCAGGCTGCGGCCCGCCCCGGGGGCAGATGCGTGTTCCAGCTGAAGGGGGCTCTTTGATGTTCACCCTGGGAAGATGTCAGGCTGGGCAGGTCGCCAGAGCCTCAGGGCTCGCGGCTGAGAGCGGGAGGAAGCGGGCTGGCAGCCAGAGGACCCACCATGCCCGGCAGCGTGAGGCAGAGGCACCTCGGACCCGAAGAAGAGGATGCTGGAACCGGGGGTCCCGGCCCCTGTGGTCATGCACATGCATCCCATCAAACCCTTCACATGACAAACACCCCTCCAGCACCTGCCCGGGGGCTGGCAGCCCGGCAGCCAGGATGCCGCACACCGGAAGTGGTCAGCTCAGCAAACACCAGCCATGGACACTCCCCAGCTCAGAATGGGGGGGGACAGGCGGTGCGGAGAGCAGGTGTCCGAGGAGGAGTGGGGCCTATGTACAGGCCACGGGGTAAGCTGCAGGGCCATGCAAAGGCCCTGAGGCAGGGTCGTGCCAGCTTGCATGAGAACAGCAGTGTTGGGCAAAGTGGCGTGGTGGACAGTCAGGTGGGGGCCGCGTAGACAGGCTGGTCTGTTGCCTAAAACCACCCGCGGCCCCCCAAGGCCTTTGAAGTCCCCACCCCACTGCTTCCCTGTGGTGGAGGGGGCAGACCTCACCCAGCCTGCCCAGGGCCTTCGGGACACTCCCCCGCCAGCCCCTGCTCCTCGCAGCCTCTCCTCCAGCAGGAAGCCCCAGAGCTTACACAACCCAGGGCCTGCCGAGTGAGGGCAGTGTAAGATGAGGACAAAACCAGGCCAGGGCAGGCACTCACTGGGCCGGCCGGAAAGCCCGCTGCTGGGCTCATCACAGAGGCCGAGAGGCAGGGCAGGACACGGGCTGAGGTGGGGCCACTCCCCGCCTCAGGGGCTTCTGCTCACTCCTGACTCCCCATCCCTGTTCCCTGTTGGGGCCAAGGCGGGTGATCACCCTGGCCAACTGTACACAGGGTCTTTTAAAAATATATTTAATTTTATTTATTCATTTGTTTTTCACTTTGACCAGAGAGACACACAGAGAAGGAAAGAGAGAAAGCAGGCCCAGGCCTGGGACTCGAATCGTGGTTGGCCATGTGGGAGTGTCCAGCGCCTTAACCACGCCACCTGCTGGCCCCTGCACCCAGCGTCTTCTGCAGCCCCCTCAGCTCTGCCCTGCGCTGCTGGGTGCCCCCCACTGCGGGACCCTGGCTGCCACCGCCCAGACTGGGGCTCAGAATGTAGGGGTGTGGCACTGGCCCAGAGTCCCCCGCGGGCAGCCAGGGCAGGTAAGGGGCGGGGAGGCTGGGAGGAGCTGCTGGGCACAAGGGGACTCTGGTCCTCACCCCACCCTGCCCACCCTCTGCTGGGGACAGGAGCCCTGGTGACCGCCCTGGACATCCCGAGCTTGTCGAAGATGGCCATCTCCCCCGCCTCCCGTCTGGAGAAACAGGCAGGCTTTAGCAGCTGCAGAGCCTGGCCGGCCAGTGCAGACGCGGTGCGTGTGCACACCGAGGGCCCTCTGGGACGCCGGGAACTGCTTCCCCAGGGCTGCCCACCGGACACTGGGGCAGGGGACAGGCGTGGGGCTGGAGGTGCTGCCTCCTCCACAGACCTCTGCCTCTAGTACCATAGTCCCCGCACAGCACACAGGGGCCCCTGGCCCATTCTCTTCCAGGCCCCGGAAACCACAGGTACCGCCTAATCCCAGCGGGTCACCTAAGACTCCGCCGCTCAGCGAGGTGACCAAGGCCACAGCTGGGGCACTGGGACAGACGCGTAAGCTGCGGGGACACCAGGGCCAGGCAGGTGTGGCCCCCGCGAAGGCTCCCCTGACCCGCACACCCGGCTCCGCCCCGCGGTGTGTGCGCGGCGCCCTCTGGTGGCGGCCGCGGGGAGAGCCGGGTGCGGCCAAGCTATCTGGCAGGCGGCTCTCGGGACGCCATGCTCTGGCCCTCCCAGGTCCTGGAGCAGCGCTCAGGGCAGGGCGGCTGGGGCTGGAGGGCCCACAGGGTCGATAGCGCCCAGGGATGGGGCCAGAGGGCGCAGGACGGTTCTTTCGTTTCCTTCTCCCACAAGACAGGCCCCCTGGATGGGATCTCAGCACTGCAACCTGGGTCCCAGACTCCGCACTGGTGCGGGCCTGCCCGGTGCAGGTGGCCTGGCTGGAGCGCACCCGTCTGCCCCTCGGCTGTCTGGGGGACGGCGCAGGGCATGCAGCCTGCAGCCCTGGGGCCCCTGAGCCCAGGCAAGGGCGGCAGAGGGTCCGCGCCCACCCGTGGGGACCACGTCCCTCCACTGCAGACCTGCTTTTCTGGACCCGGGAGCACAGGCCCCCCCAGTGCCACCCCCAGCGGAGCCGAGGATGCCCACCCAGGTGCGGACAGGAGTCAGGAGAGGTGGGGTCGCTCTTTATTGGTGAGAGGCAGGTGAGGGAGGGGCTGCCCGTGGGTCTGCCCGCGGATCTGCCACACAGGCCACTGGACGGCCGGACACGGCAGGCAGCCACCAGGAGGGCTTGGGGTCCCCCAGGAACCGAGAAGGGAGCCCCGTGACCAAAAGCCTCGAGAGGCGCACAGACCCGGCTTCCACCGCAGGTGCAGGTCCACAGCACAGGCGGTGACAGGGCGACCCCGGCCCCGGCGGTCCCGCCCCGCCCCGCAGCACGAGGGAGTCAGGACTCCACACACAGACCCCAGTGACGTGTGAAAGCAACAGGAAAACGTCTATGGTTTGAATCTACGATTGCTTTGCTTTTGCTGGGTGGGTTTTTAAGAAGCGACAAAGTCTGGAATCTTGCAGATGACAGGACCCCGGACGTGGACTCCACAGATCGGGCAAAGTCTCAGCAGCTACATGTCCTGAGAGGGCCTGGGAAGGGGGGCGGCGCTCAGATGGGGAGGGGAGGGGGGAACGGGTCGCCCCAGCGGGGTCTGGGAAGGGAGGAGGAGAGGAGAGGAGAGGAGAGGAGGAAAGGCGCTGGGGCGGCCCCCTCCCCGGCCCTCCCGCAGGGCCACCAGGGCCACCGGGGCACACCTACCAGCTCAGGTGGCGTTCCTCTGGCGGACTCCCTGGCCCTTGTCGTTTGCGGGCTGCGAGCTGCTCTTCCTGGGGACGGGGCAGGCCTCAGTTGTGCTGGCAGCTCCCCCAGCACCCCACCCGGGCCGCCCAAGGCACCCGCCCACCGGGAGCTGGACTTACAGTGGCGCAGAGCCTGCGTCGTCATCTGCAGGAGGCGGGGGAGGGAGAGAGGCGGTCAGCGGGCCCTCCCCTGAGCTGAGTCCGCTGCAGGGAAGCCCGCCCCTCCGCCCCCTGCGCCCCAGCAGGCGAGCAGCAGCCTGGCCAGGCACGCGCATGCAGGGGCGGGAGCGCAGGAGCCGGGGCGTCCGCAGAGCCCAGCCTCCTGCCCCGCCCGCAAGTGCAGCAGGACGGCTGCTTACCGTGGACGCCAGCTTGTGGCCAGCGAGGGAGGAGAGAGGGAAGGTGAGCCGTGGACCTCACCGGCAGGCCCAGAGCTCACTGCCCTGGCCCCCCCCGCCCCCCGGGCTGCCGCAGGGCTGGCAGGGGTCACTCACCGTCCAGGACCTCGTCCGGCTTCCGCCGCTTCTCGTAGATGAAGATGATGGTGACCAGCACTAGCACCTCGGCCACGATGCCCAGGAAGGGCCAGAGGGCGGCCAGGTTGCTGCGCACCCGCAGCGAGATGGTGGCCTGGTCGCTGCCCTGCGCGCTGGTGCCGTTGCACACGTACTGACCGCCGTCGCTGCCCACGTCCAGGTCCCTGATGCGCAGCTCCGTCCTCTCTGCCGAGGAGCTCACGAAGAACTTGTCCCGGGAGCCGTTGACGATGACCTGGGGGCAGGTGCTCGTCCAGGACCGGGAGAGCCGCAGGTGCTGCCCGTTGACGATGACCTGGGGGCAGGTGCTCGCCCAGGACCGGGAGAGCCGCAGGTGCTGCCCCCACCCTGTGTGTCCCCTCTCCCCCCGGGCCTCCCCC